GGATGTGGCAAGGCCTGCAGCACATCACAGACTACAGGACCACCACCAGCATCATCAGCTCCACAGACAGCCTGCCAGATGACCTCAACACCTTCTACACCCGCTTTGAGACCTCCAGCCACAGCACAGAGAGGAGGCACCCCTCTGGTGGATGGAGTTTGGTGATCTCTGCCACTTTTTCTCTGTCATTTGTCCATTGCATGTGTGTGTGGCTCCTGTCACAGAGTCTGACAGGTAATCAGGAAAGAAAAGTGCGCACTCCTTGCATTTTTTATTGCAATACCAGTAATAAGCAAATGTGCATGGTATGATAACCATCAATTTTCATACCACTGTATACTGTGAAACTGGTATACCGCTACAGAGCTAGGTGACGGCTCACTCTGGCATGACAAGGCAGCTTTATTCATATAGCACATTTGATACACGGATGCAATTCAAAGTGCTTTACGTCAGCAATGAAAAAACATTAACAGCATTAAAACCAAATTAAAATTGTTTAAGACAAAATGAAGTTAAAACTGTTATAATGAGACAAAATGCATAAAATGAATGAATGAAAAGAAGAACAAATAGCCTTGTGTTATATTCTAATCAAATTTCACTGACTTTAAATTTTTCACTTTCAAAAACATGGCCTCTTTAGGTAACACACAATGTAATTCTGCAAATGTACGTGTTGTGTTCTCACCAAGCGTACTGGACAGTGTAGTTGTAGTTAGATGTTTTGGTGGCCCAGGTAAGGATGGTTTTAAAGTCCAAAGACACCCATTTTACGTTCTCTGCTGTGGGCACCAGGTTCTTATCTGTGGATGAAATGTTATACAACATTACTATCAACCTTTCCATGACTTCTGAATATTCTTCCTTACTGTTCTTGTTCTATCAGTTTGCGAGTGAGTGTAATGTTTACAACTTGGTAAATCAGTTTGAGAAAAACTTTGACATCCAGCTCCCCATACATTTTCCTCTCATAAACAGACCAAGATTTAAGTTACACTTTGCCAATGAGCAAAATATGAGGTACAAGTGATACTGTTACATAATAGAATGACCACTTTTCTCCATGCCTTTCTCTGTTCCCATTGAGGTCTAAGGGCATTCCACTGCTCTCCAGTGTATTGCCATGGAGGCAGAAATTTCACAGGCAAGTATTTCAAAATCCAGCTAATGAGAGCAAAGCTTGCAGCATAGCGTTGAAGTGGAGGTGACTGCCTCTTTTGACACAGGCCTAGCACTGCTTGAAATCTTGTAACATCACACATTATCATGCCCCTGTTATGTTAGAACATACAGTAAACCTAGGAACCAAACTCCAAACTGCAGGGATCCAGTCACAAGCTGTAAAAACCTGAAAGCTGAACACAACACAAAATAATTTGGTTATAAGCAAACATCTTCTCACCCCTTTGCTTCCCATAAATAAGGGACAAAATACCAAGTTACATCAGCTTTCATTCTGAACACTCAGGAACACTGTCTGGCTCCACCAATGCCTGAATATTAAAGGGTATCCATCTGGTCTCTTTTATTTAAATGTTTTTTTTTGTTTTTTTTAATTGTCAATACATAAAAATATTAGTACATTTTTTATTTTTGTCTATGTTATGCATTTGATAACTAGTTTTCTTTATGTTCTGTTTTTCATTGATTAAACTGTCATTTCAGTACTTGTTGGTAAAATGGAATTTTTATAATCTTAGCAGTAGTCCTTTTTTAAAACTCATTAATGACATTGTACTTTTCTATTGCTAGGGCAAACAAAAGCTAAACTGAAATGAAGTTGAGATGCTACTCATCTTAAAAGAATGCAACAGGGACCACAGGAGAATACTGGACACATGTTACATAAGCTACAGTATAATCATATGGTTTTACCTGCAGCTGTGGTGATCCAAGCAGAGAGACAGCCTACCAGATAGAGCACATTTTTCAGAAATGCCATGTTAAGGTAACTCGAGTCCTTTCTCCTTCGCTCCAGGATCTTCCAACTATCTGGACCCAAAAAAAAAGTGCCTGTACTGTAGATCAGATATTCCTCTGGTTTGAAGCTGCTTGGACTGAGTGTGGTTTGTGTTGAGCAGAAAGAGTGGAGGAGCTGCAGATGGGGTTACTGGGGACGGCTCAGTGCTCCACCTCATTCTGTCACTGATCCCTCCCACATGCCTGCCTACTCATGGGGATTCAGTATGAAAACCTCCTGCTTAAGAATGTAAATGTTTATGGGCTGACACACTACTCCACTTTAAAGCATGGGATGAGTCTCTCTGTGGCTGTCCGCTGTGTTAACTCACTGGATGGAAACTCACCAAATGGGAAAAAGATTCTCAGCACTCTGCTGTTCTTGTATTTAGCTGTGTTGCTATGAAAAACAGAAGTGATATCTTGTTGCCCTGATGGCTGATAGGCTTGTCTCACTGGCTTTAGCTCACCAGAAAACATCTTTTTTCTAATTTCACACAGCAACACTAAAAGACATGGAGATATAAGCTATAGCCTGATAAAGGATGTAAATGTTCTTAATACAAGGGCAGCTGTGGCAAACTACCTTTTGTTACTGAATAATTTTGTGCAAGAATTGTTTTATTTACTTAAGACCACTTAAAATGTTAGTTTTTGATGTTATGCAAGTGTATTCATCCCATTACCATTACCATTAACAGAATAATGATATGTTGGACCAAACTCCAATCTTTTTTGGCATGCACTGCATACACTCATGCAAACTTTGTTCCATTGCATTTATAGATTTTGTCATATATTTGAAATATTACTTATGCCTTTACCTGTCCTCTGCTCTCCATTTATTAGCCCCATGG